TATTTGGCTGCTCACTGCTCACCTAGTAATTATTGCTAATACTGAAGAATCAAGAATTGCCAGACCCTAATTATTTGGAAGGAGGAAAACTTCCAGTCAATGTTTTGGGGGGGGAAAAAACCACTCAGTAGAAGTGAGCGTATTTCACAGGCTCTATTTTTCAGTGCTCTAGTATTACATATGTTTACATTTTTCAGAGTTTTAATGTACTTGGCTAGAGGTAAGACACCTTAAAGGTTTCACTGTGACTAAAATTTAAACTGAAACAATTTCAGTTAATGGCATTTCCTCATGATTAATGATGAAGGGAATCTCTTATATCATCAGTTTCCCCTCATCACTTACTCATTCCCAGAAGTGCCTTGCATCTTGAGAGCACTAATACATAAACTTAAACACGAAGTTAAACTAAGGGCTTAATTCAGAATCCATGTGAGTCAGTGAGAAGGTTTCTTTGAAGGGATAACTTCAGTAGATTTTGGGTTTTGTCCCAAGTGACCAGGGACATATTCCTACATCTCTGCGAGCAGAAAGGTCATCCACACAGTTGAGGTTGTATTTGAACAGTAAGCAGTAGATTTTTGTCATTTAACCAAAGAGAATGGTATCATTTTGGCTTGCGTAACCTGGCAGGTCAGTGAAAAACTAAGAACCTTGATCTCCTGAATCTTGGTTCTTTATCTATACATGAGGCCTTGCTGGTCTTAATATAAATCAAGACATTATCTTTCTTTTTCAAAGAGACTGTTTGTGAAGCTGAACATGCTGTGTAATATAAGAAAGGAGAAATTAAGGACAAAACCATCAAAATAATTCTTCAGTCTGTGGTCAGTAACAGCAAAGATGTCAAAATGAGATACTTTTTAGAGCATTTTAAGAAAAAGTCACTTGGGTCTGGTATTCCAGTTTGGGTTGCTACCAGAGCCACTGTTGATAATGGGATGTACGCATCTAATTATTTATTTAGACTTGATAGGTTAAGAGTAGGCAGAAGCACATCTGATGAAAAACAAAGGAGAACATGCACTCAGAGATTACTTGGATGCTGCACAGGAGTTTGGATCAGCTTGTCTGTGCTAAGGTTACACACTAAGTATTCTTCAGATGTTAGTGAAGAAAAGAAAAAGGAAAAGGAGTATGTATAGTGCAACAGCTTTCTTTCCCAATTTCTCTATTACAAGCAGCAATGTAAATTTAATTATAAGGAGGCAAGCAGAAGATTCAGAGTAGGCGTACTAGTGAACAAATCGGTGGAAAAAATGTAGTTACGTAGTCTTAATAAACTACTTACGCCAAGAAGCACTAGTGCTGTTCTGCCTGAGAGAATGACATTAATCAAGGACTGCTGGCACTCAGTCACCTTTCCAACTTGGGGATTATATTCCTTCCCATACATACCTGATTTCTAAGATTCTGTCTGTGCAGATGCACAACATAATGTTCTTGACAAATTCACTAATATTCTGGGGCACTCAAGTACATAGAAAAAATCCAAATGAGTGTCAAATACATGTTGGTGATTATGACACTAAAATCAAGTGATGCAAGTCGCATTCTAGGATCTGCTTTCAAATATCTCTATATATGTATAAGTCCTTACAGAGGATTAAATTAGAAACCGGTCTTTGCTATATGGTATGAAGAACAAAATATGAAGAATATGTATATAACATCTGTTTAACCAAAAATAACATGTATGAATGTTCTAGCTCCAAAGACCTGAATACTGGAAGACTGCTAAAGCCGATCCTTAAGGCAGAGGTGACTTCATTGTGGTGATCTGTATAGATCATAGAAAGTGATACACAGAGAAAGACAGTCTAAGTCTCATTCATGAGAATGCACAGTCTCAGAGCTACTGTAGAACTATTGTAAATCAACCATAGTTATTTTTTACTGGTACTAATTCCTAGATGCTCCAAAGAAGGATCAAGGTTCCTTTGTACAAAATGTTGACATACATTAAAGGAAAAAGGTGTCTCTTGCTGTCTTCTTCACTACCAAGGAAAATCAATGATCAACTGTCTGTCAGGCATAGCACTCTTCTGACAAGAATCCTCACTTAACTGTAAGCATAGGATAGGTATTGGAGAAAACTTAATGCAAATGACAGTGTTTAATTTTATGTTATTATAGAATATTATATCACTGCATATCCTGCATGTTGCATATTTTTCCCACTCCAAAGAATTTACACTTGAAAACCTAAGAACTTTGTCTTGCTGGTGCATTCTAACGCTTTTGAAGTGATCTAGCCTAGATTCTTCCCTTCCTACTCTTGCTTTCATAGCAGTATCAGAGAAACATTTTTGAAGTCTTAAATCCTTTGCTTAAATTGGGCAGTGTCCAAAGACTAAACAAGTTATAATTTATTTTGGAATATTTTAGGTTTTTTCCTACCTCTTTAGTACACTACTGGCATAAGGGATTTTAGTTTTGTCACTGTCTTCAATCTAAATGCTATTAGGTTTTAAAAGTGATGTGTAAAAATCAGTAATATTCACTTACAGTTCCAGATAAGCAAAATTTAGCAGTGCCTGTATTTTTTCTTTTGCATCCTCTAAATAACCTTGAAAAAATCAGAATTTATCAATTGGGATTATACTGGAGTGTAACCAGAATAACTAGATTGCAAAGGACACTGTTCCCAAGGCATACATTCTTAGTAATATACAAAGTTGTAAGAAGATGACTTCCATATCATTCCACCTCCAGGGTGAATAAATATACTGTATGAATCCACAAGTTAATACCTTCTGCTGTATGTTAATATTTCCAAGCCCTAAAAATCTCTCTGCAGAAAAATCAATAAGGCCTCAGTGTCTGGAAAAAAATATTTATCTAATAATTTAATATATTTATTTCGAATTCTAGCGGCTTCCATTAGCTGCTAATTCAGAAAGTATTTCTAGCATGTTCTAGTGCTTGTCCTTTTCTTGGATAAGATTTTAATGGTAAAATGTTAAGTGAATGACCTAGCAGTGTAAATTAAAATAACACCTAAAAGCATGTTCTAAAGTGATTGAAAACTTTACTTGTACTGCTGAAATGGGAGAGTGTTAAATCATAGAAGCAGATCTCTTTCCAGGCATTCTTTTTTTTTCAATCTGCAGTTTTAGATTTGTAGCGATCCACTGAAAATACTGAAATGGTACTAGAAATATTTTTTTAAAAAGGAGGAGTTTTGCAGATTGATTTGTTTTTTTCCTAGTTTATTCATCCAAAGAATGTGATGAAAACTGTCCTACTGGTGCTGTGTGTGTATTATCAACAAAAGCATGGAGCATTATAGAGGTACTTTTGCTTTACCATCTTAAAACATCAATCACCCTCACATTAAGGATGGACCTCTTGAACAGAGTAATTTGCCTTTTACTTGCATGTAACCAGGACTCAAAATGGGAATTTCTGGGACTGAAGTCAAGGGCACAATTCCCATGGATTTGGGAAGGATTCCACCCGAGGCGTTATGCAAGATCACATGAATACCTCAGAATCAAAGGCTGAAGTGTATGTTAGTGAGAAGCATGCTTTGACAACAAAAGATACGCTGGAGAATGTTGACTTATGAGATGGTGCTAAAGCTGAAAAAGCAGTAATTTAAAAGTGTTTCATTTTACTGGATACCTGCATATTTAAATCTGGTTTATTTGCAGTGGGTTTTCACTGTATTGTATTCTGGGGATAATTTGACAAGTTTTTGTGATTTCTTAACACTAACAAATTTCTGCCTTGGTTTTATCTTATTAAGTGATTTTTTAACATGATAAAAACGATAATCCTCATCCTGCCGAGCCTGAAAAATGTAAGCAGTCCTACTGAAGTCAACAGGATAATTCATGTGGAAGAAAAGCTATTCATATGCTTGAGAGTGTTCAGGTCTTAGATTTTTTGCATAACTTCGTCTCAATAGTGAGAATGCATATGACTTTACAATTGGCTCACAGTCATTCTGCATGGTAGAGAAATATACATCCTCCAGATCTTAAAAACTGATATACTGAGAGGGGAAATTATACCTTATGACTATTTCACATTTTCATTCCATGACAAAACAAAATAATCACATATATTCCTGGAGAAAAATAATTTTATGTGAATAAAAATAATTAATTTTCAAGTGAAAGGTGGATTAAATTGTTAGAGAAGTGAGTGAACATAATTATTTTTTCATAATTTCCCTGGAGGTTAACCCTACACACACCATTTATTTTTTTAATGTAATACTGTGCAGAGGTAAAAAGAAGTTGATTGGCAGCACTTTGTCTTGTCTTTTCCTTTTGTTCCTGGATTGCTGAGTTTACACTTACCTGTGTGCTTCTACTACTTACTGTTTTGGAACATTTTTGACTGTATGTGTATTTGGAATTAGGCCTTTACAACCATATCTTTTGGGTGCTTACATCTAAATACAAAATTACTCTAATAAATTAATTAAATTTCCATACACTCCAATGCTTGATAGCATTTCAACTTTCAACAGTTTCTCCATTGACTTTAAAAGGGTTTTAGATTAGGACAATCATTAACTTCTTTCAGATCAAGCTACTTCAGTATTAACTTACTCAGTTCCATCTTCCTGTTTTTTTCCTGTAGAAGTTCAGCTGTAATTATTGATTACACACTTTTTCTAAACTTAACTTACTGGTCTATCCTTTTCTGATAGAGCTGGGAAGCAACATAACAATGTAAGTATCATCCCCATAAAGAAAATGAAGTTTTCTCTTGATGGTCCCTAATTTTTCAATGGTGTAAAATTTATAGATTGACATAGTACTAAAGGCAAGAGTGATTTTTGGCCTGTATTCCCAATTACATGGCCATTGGAAATCTTTTAGGAAAAGATTAGACAAGCATCTTCTTGAATTAATGGAGGTATAGTCTTGAAACAGGGAGTTGGAAAGTATGATCTCTAAGGGCCTCTTAGAGCTTTATTTTTTAATTTAACTGCGTCTAATTGTCAGATGCCTACAATACATGTATTGACAATTTAAAATTGATGATTTCAAGAGTTGATTAGTTTATGATTTCAAGAAATTACATGAGTATAGTTCACAAAAATAAGGAACAAATTTATCACAAGTGAAAAAGCAGTGTTAGACAAAGTTGGATAAAATGCTGGTATATTTTTCTAAAAAAGCTACAAAGCTGAGGAGGGGAAATGATTCCTTTGAATAGTGGTACTGTTCAGATGGAGAATAAAAGAACATTCAGTTCTTTTATCCTTTGGCTGAATGTTAAAAATACACTGGGTAAGCAACACTAATTTTGGCAATATTGTGTGTGGACACAAAAAGTATTTCCCCTTGCTTTAATTGCTGAGCTGGGTTGTTTGTTTTTTGTGGGATTTTTTTGTCACTATGATCTAAATGACTGGGAAAGTAGTCTACTAAGCGTTGCCATAAAAAGTTTTACAGTGGGCTGTCTGAAAATGGATAGCATATTAACTGAATAGCAAGAATAAGGAAAGACTTCATAATTTCTACAAATCTTTATGGTTCCACTTATGTTAGCGTTGCCAGAGAAAAAATAAGAGGCACATAACTAGTGAAATAATTGAGAATGCACTCTATGGAAGTAGAATTTGTGTAGCGTGTATGGAAGTTTATATAATTTGAATAACAATAGCAGAAATAAAGCTATCAGGATAAATGTAAAATATACATTTATCAATATACAATGTAGCATATACCACAAGCAGTGCTACAGCCTATGGCTTGATAGGAACACGTAATAAATTTTATATAGATTCCAAATTATCTCTCTACAAGGCTCTAGTCCATGAAATTACTGTAATAGAAATAGCAGTAGAGAAATCACAGTGGAAAGATAACTCAGCACATTCAAATTGATATTGCTGAAAAATACAGCATTATTGACAGATAATTATAAATGTTACTAAAACTACAACTGGAAGGAAATTTGTGAAATTATTTCTGCAGGATTTATGTTAGGAATAAACAGCCATAAAGTGGATCAGATCATAAAACTTGGAGGATGTCACACCCCAGGAGAGAACAACACAAATGCATACTGGAAAGACTAGAAAATATTAAAATAAACGGATGTTATCTCTGACACCTTTTCAAGGCTCGGGGTGGTCCTTTAAAGTCATTCCACTCTTTTTCCTTTCACATCTGTTTTCAGCTACAGATACCTCCCGATAGAATCCAAGCCTTTTTCTTCATTACCTTTCTCCTGGAGTCTGAAGGGATTGTTCAGGCATAAGGATAGGTCATTAAGTTTAATTCAGGAGCGTACAGTATTCAGTCTAGCTTGTGTGGTTACTCATGTAGTTCCTTGTTTAGATTTTGTGAACTTCAGCGATGCCTTGGTAACTCAGATCCTTAAACTTTTTTTTTCTTCTTCCTTCTGGCATTTCTGATTCTGGGGGAAATAAGTAGAATGCATACATTTCATACTGTCAGAGCTTGTATTAACTACACTAAGAACAGATGAGCCACGCTATTCTCACAACAAAAGTATGTTGGTCCAGACTCCTTAAAGCATTTCTTCCCTCCCCTCTTTCTCTCCTCCCACCAGAAAATATTTCCTATAATTTCTTTGTCCTAACACTTATTTTCATTATTCCTCAAGTTCAACAACTTCAAAAACCTTAGAGAGCCACATCCTGCTAGATAGCTTCTATGTTCTACTGTCCATGAAGTGGACATTCATAGTCTTGTTTGCAACTTAGCGGAACTGGGATTAAATGCCTTTACGCTGTGTGGATTCTACCTAAAACTACACCACAGGATATTCTTTTGCCACATGGAAAAACAAAGATATGGACTTACGGCCAATTTGAATGGAAAAAAATTAACTTCGATGCAGTGTTTTGAAAAGAGTAAATTGCTTACTCTTTGAAAGGAGTAAATTTTTTTTAGTCGGATGCACAGAGATAAATCTTCAGTGGCATGTTGGCTTCCTGTACCAAACTTAATATGAAAGAATTTCCAATTTTCTTAAGATAAATATCTTGTCGTTCACTTTTTCATCTTATAATGCCACTTCACTTTTTAAAAACAGAAGGTAACTACAAACCCAAGATTGATCTATGTTTTAAATGTATCTTAGAAATGTGTACCAACCTGATTTTTCAAATGATCTAACTATAAAACTCCCTGGACAACACTGCACCTTGTAAGACCAAATCACATAGCAGTTGAAATGCCAGATGAACTTCAAGACAGACAAATGTAAAGTGATGGACATGGGGAAAAACAATCCTAGCTTCACATATAAAATGGTGGGCTGATCATAACTATGCAGGAGCTGGATGTTAGTTTGTGAAACATCTGTGCAAAACTTCAGCTTAATGCTCTACACAGGCCAAAAAAGAAAATTGGATGTGAGGAATTATTTGAAAAGCAATATGAAATAAAACAAGAGGATTGTTCTGATCCCCTTATCTCAGAAAAGATGTATTGGAACTAGAAAAGATTCAGAGAAGGGTGACAAGGATGACCAAAGCATGGAACAGCTTCTTTACAAGGAACAACTGAATAAGGTAGGATTTTTCAGTCTGGAAAAAAAAGGCAGTTTAGTAAGGGCTATGGCAGAGGTTGCAAAATGACTGGCGGCATAAATTCAGCAGGGCTTCTAACAAAAGAGCCAAGGCCAGGAGGAGCCAAGTTCAAAACAAGCAAAATTCTTCAGACAGCAGCTAAGTTTTCTGTGAATCTCCTCGCTAGAGGATGTTGTCAATGCAAAAACTTGACATTAGTTCAAGTGGAGCCTGGACTAGTATTGTAAAGGAAATCTATTGAGGGTTACTAAAGAGAAAAAGCAAAGGAATCCCCTCACCTGAAAGTAATCAGCAACTAGGAAAGTACGTGGGGGCAGTCTCATATGTCATTGCCATGTTCATACTAATCCCTGGGCATTGGTGGTTCAGGTCCTTTGAACAAATAACGAGGTAGCTGTCAACACTACTTGCGTTTGTTCTCATGTAAAGGCCAAGGGCCTGTTTTCAACGATGCTGCAGGCTTCCAGTCTTGCTGGTTCCAGTGGAAATCCCTCAGTATGTCTTTAAGTCAGTCTGGTGTTTTCTTGTTAGTGTTTCTTCAGGTGGGATTGCTATGAATACAAAGCAGTTGCAATGTATCTTATCAAAGCAATTTTCCTAGCGGAATGGGGAAGGGTTTTTTCAGATGAAAATGGGAAGCATGCGGTGATATTTCTGATACATCTTTGTCTTCAGAAAGCAAAGGAGAGAAAATTAAGAAATATATGAGGTAGTCAATTCAGAGATCCACTAGCTGCTTCAAGCCAGTTATATTCCAATGCCTCATTTGTTCATATAGGAATATAAATCAGGATATATTTTACCTTTGCAACCTTTAGAGACAGAATATAAGTAAGGATAAAATGTGATCGGGAGAACTAGAAATATGCTCATGCGATTTTGGATTGACAAAAAATTCTCTCTTCAGTTTAATTGATTAAAGTAATACCTAAATTCCTGGGATGACATCCCTCCCAGGAAAAAAAAAATAGAATGACCAATAATTTATGTATAACAACCTATTTGTAAAGAAAAGCTCACATTGTATTTGTCTCTCTACCCTTCCCACACAATCCAATTTTTTATATAGCAGTTGCTAGAATTTGTAGATTACAAATGCAAGGATTTTCACAGAAAAGCAGTTCAAAGAAATGTCCTTGATCTTGTCATAGTAATCATCATCCCCTGAGCTTAGCATTTTACTGACTATACTATTACTTTTCATGAATAAAGAAGACAAGTTCTGTGGAAACAGCCATGTTTTCAGCACATCATTAGTGAGTTTCAGGAGAAAATTATATAATAGCAGTAACACAGAGCATATAAGGAGCCCTTAAAAACAGACTTTTATTGAATAAATGAAAAGGCAATGATGTTAAGGAAGCCAAGCAATTAGTACCTCATCCCTTATGCTCCACCTGACAGTATAAATGGTTTCTATTTCTGGATGGAGCAGGAAATCTTATTTTACCCTCCAAATCCATGTGTATCCAATTTCCAGAAATGTAATACTCATATCTTAAAAAGATACATAAGGCTTCTTTAGGGTTAATGCTCAAATAAAATAAAAGTTCAAAGCTTTCTAATTTATAACTAGTGGAAGAAACTCTTAAGAAATCAATAGCATAGATAGAAACATAAATGAAGTCAAGAGAAACTCCTTTTGAATGCAAGTTAGCAGCGAAGTTATTTTCTAGGGCCAGGTTCTGCCTTGATTTCCTATCTATGAAATACAGTTCATTGATCTCAACTTTCAGAGAAAACACAAAATACAGTGATCAATCCAATGCAATATTTATATCTGGAAAAACAAACAAAAGCAATACAAATCTGAATATGAATTTTAGTACTGTAAAACTAGTTATTTCCAACAGGAAAGCAAGACTTAGGTGATGATGGATATGATTTGCTTCTCTTTAACATTTTAATGAGAAATATGCATTCTCAACCATTTTCATAAGAGCCAGTATAATGGGACACAAATCTTCAGTGAAGTCTCTAGCTTCTACTATACAAAACCCACTTGATCTAGGTAGCACAGCCGTAATTCTGCCATGTAGCTCTGTATGTGATCAATTCCTTAATTTCAGGAAAAAAATTTAGTGTCAATGGGCAGAATGCTTTTGATTCGGTGGGCAACCAGAAAGCCAAAAAGGGGAAAATGGAAAACCTGTAGAATCTGTTCTGCTTGTTTAGTAGAGTGACAGGCTTGAGCACCTTCATCATTTTCCATTAATCAAACAACTGGTTTTATAGAAAGGGCAAAATGGAAATGTACTCACACTCTGTAGAACAAGGCTGGAAAATGACTCCTAGAATGTACATAAGGAACACAAATGGCATAGCTTTTAGTATGTAAGGGTAAAGGACAAAAGGAACCCCTGTGATTTTGGATAGTCAAAATTAGGCTATACACAGAATTAATGGCAGATACAGACTCCAAAAGATTCCTAAGGAAAGGTGGCACACAGGAGGCTTTTGTGTTGAAATGGAGGGAGCCCTTGATGTGTGCAAGAAAACTGGCTTACAGAGATTACAGAATATGTGATCTCCTGATAAGTAACAGGATATTCTTGATAATGTTATATGACATTGAAAGAAAAATAATTGGCTTTGGGAAAGAGCTGCAGTGATTCAGCAAGCTATTTAACGAGTCCCCTCATCTGAGCACAGTACATCCTGCTCCCCCACATACTTTCCATTTAAATGATCTCCTACTATAGTTGGTGACCTTTGACCATACTCAATACAATAGCACACAAATTAACTTGGTGCTATTATGAAACATTTTGTCTCATCTCTCAGACCGAGACAGTTTTGTGGGAAGCAGACAGAATACAGGCAGTGGTGGGATTTCCTTTGGAACACACTGAAGGCCATCATCTGACATGTGGGAAAGATCAACAGCTCTAAAACATGATGAGAGGGAGGCAGAAGTGTCTACAAAAAAAAAAGTTTATTCTGCATTTTTACCAGCTGCTTCTAATAAACCTTCCTTTTTTTGCTTTGTTGTTCACATAACCTACTCTGGAAATCATTGGGGGGCAGAGTAGGTGAGTTAGTTACTGGGGAACAGCAGTTAGGACAATGGTTGGAAAATGTAAATTTTGCTTTGCAGAAGAGTCGCCTTGTTAGTACTCTGTGCGCTAAGAATTAGTGCTTTGTGACTAATTCACTATTGATTTTCTAAGGTAGAATTCAAACAATTCATAAACTAGAGAACAGCATTTGAAGGCAGGGTATTGGGGTTAAGGAGGGTAAAAATCTAGATTCAGGCAAGGGACTATTCATTGCTCCTCTTCAAGGGAAAGGATTAGGAAGAACTACAAATACTGGTGAAGCCAGATTGTGAATGATTTAGCAGCTGGCATAAAAAAACAAGTACAATTTATAGTGTAGTTTGTGATATATTAGCGAATGCAGCATTTTAAAAATCCTGGAATTATATAACCAATAACTAATTGCTGTTATGAAAGGAAGTGGAAATATTGCAGAATAGCTTGAAACACATAAATAGTTTATTTGTACTCCTTGACTGTTACATTAAGAGAGGAAAAGAAACACAAAGATGCAGTGCCTGAAAAACATTGAAAATGTCTACATCATAGCAGTACTTCTGGGTTTTTTTTTAATTCAACTTGCAGAATTATGGAGACATTTCTAAAACATATTGAAAACAGAAAATGGGGTAAAGAGAATATAAGGAAGTTTATACTACTGAAAAAGAAGTTACTCTAAAAAACCCTCTTTATATTAGTAAAAGAAAGCTCCATTTATAAAAGTCTGTATCAGCTTTAAATTAAATTAATTACACTTGGAATCATGGAATGAAAATAAAGAAATAGCTTTATAATAAAATCAATACACTTATTTCTAAATATTCTAATACAAGGATCTAGCGTTATTTTCGACAGTTACTGGGAAGCTTAACTTTGAAACTGCTTATGGGGCAGAAAACCTTTTCAAATACCTTTTAAAAATTTTGCAGAAATCTTTCTATCCATTTTTCTTTTCCCTAAACTTCGAGCTTTGACCATCACTTTCACCTAAATGAAAAAATATGTAACTTCTGTTCAACCTCTTGGATAAATGACAAAGTGATTACCATTGGTTGAAGCAGGCCTATGATTAAATGCTTAAAATAAACAAAATCCTCTCTGTACATGAAGCAGCCTTAGATCAACAATCAGGTCACATCACTATCTCAAACTTGAGAATTCTAACATTTTGCCAAAGTCCCTGTGTTTCTGTACCTCATCATGTGGTTCTCATGCATGTGGCCTTTTCAGTCCTTTCGTTTGACATGACTTACAATTTTTTCATTACACAATTTAATCGGCTAATTCCCGAGTTGTACTAAAATAGATTTTGATGCAGTTGAGCCATGGCACCAGTGAAGATCTACATGTCCTCTTTCTGCTTTTTTTGTGCAACTCTGATTCCCACCAGCTTTTAAAAGCTCATTGTTGTGCATTAGTTTGGAAGGGATCGGCCTGAGCACAGCACTTTTTCACATCTCTCCCTCGTGTAAGAGTATTCCCCCCAGGGCTATAGGGAGTTCTTCTGAAGAAAAATTGAGAACAGCAAACTGCTGAGAAGTCAGCTTAATCAACAACTTCAGGATTATGGAGAGAAAGTAGTGTAACATTTGTACATGGGTCAGATGACATAAACAGCTGAAGTCTGTTTTTGCTTTTTTATTTAAAGCAATGACATTCTGTCAACTGCTTAATGTTGTATGATGTATGAGGATGATGTATTACAGGGATTCTCAAACTGGAGATGCTTTTTGCCACCATCATTAGCAATGACAGCACTACCGCAGCAATCCCAAAAGTTCCTGCTTCTTTGCTAGGCCCCAGTCATACACAGCAGAAGGCAAGCCCCACCGTTCTCTCACACGGTGTTAACAAGTCTAGGTTCCTTGGTGTGCTCTCTACATTCAGAAGAGGACTATAAAAGGCTCCTTGTGGTCCTGAAATTTTGAAACCTAGAGGTGTACCTCAACCCCAATCTGCAATGCACACTGCTAAGTCCAGCCAGGTGAGGCTTTCTCCTTCACAAACAGTGAGCGCTGCCAAACTGCGTGAACTTTAGAACAAATGAAAAGTACCCAGTGTTGTTTGTTTTCTCTGTTTGCAGGCACACATTTACATCAGCCAGGAACAGATTCCCTCCATTGCCTCTCCACATAGGGCTAAAAGTTCGCTAAGTGCTGGGTCATGACTCTGTAGTTTACTATGTTGCAGTAATTTTTGTATCACACATTGGGAACTCTTAGTCTAGAACAAAAAACTTAAGCTAAAGGTTAGTCAAACAGAATTTAGACAATCCATAAGAAAGAATTAATTTGCTGCAGCAGCTTATATTACTGCCTGTTTAGCTCTATTTTTAGGTGTTGAGATCTTCTTAGGTACACAGATTAAGTTACAGGATCCTGAATGGCAGAAATTTGAAAGGAGTGTGATCGAGACACCACAGTGAGGGCAATCATTCTAAATGAGTTTGACTGGCTAAAGTTGTGTGGCAGTGGAAAAAAGACCAATATTTGGAACTGAGTGTGAGTTTAAAACATTGGAGGGGAGGAAGGAATCATATGATTATTTCTTCCATGTGTGTGAGAAGAACAAAGGTCGTAACAAACTGGAAGAGCTGTTAAATTGTTAAGGGAAATCTGAACTGTAATACTTAAAAGCCAAAAGGTATGCCTGTGGGGTTTTTTAATGCAAGTTCTTAATTTACTAGTATCTAGTAATTAAATATTTTAACATGTCATGGAGGAATAAGTTCATCAGAAAAACACTGCATAAATGAAATTGTGTAGGCTTCTGGAAACAGCTGTTGAAATCTCAGGGTAAAGCAATGAATATTAAAATGAAAGTTGAAATTTCACAGGGAATGAAATATCTTGTCAACTTTATTATAAAGTATTTTTTAAAAAGAAAAAGCTTTGGAAAGTTAAGAGGCATGGTATCTGGTAAGATCTGTTATTTTGCTTTGTGTGCAGGAATTTTCAGAGGATTCCATAGAGGCAATAATGCTTTTATTAAACTGGAATTAAACTGGATTAAACACTGGAAGTACTTTTTCCTTCACTTGGAACAGCATTCATGCATGTACACTGCAAGGTACATCACATTATAAAGTTCAAGTCACAGCATTCCTTTCCTATTTTATGTACTTGACATACGGCCTGGTATGTCTGTGTTGTTCTTACTGATTAAGAGTAGAAACACATTTTACATGTAGCAGTTATCCACTTTCTTCACCACTACAGCCTGACTGTAATTCTAACCACACCAGACACATGCACTTTTTGTTCAAAATTCTGAGTTGTGGGAGACATCTTTCCCTTTTGCCTTATGTTCTTCACCTAAATCCTACAGTTACAGGTTATTAAGTAGTCTGTTGAGTGGAACTAAAGGCCAATGAATTGCATTTTTTTAAAAAGTCAGAAATCACAACTTAACTGGAAAAATACCCTACAGCTTTTACATAAAAAATAAGTCTCCACTTGTTGTTAGGTTATGACAGCCAGTTTAGAAAAGGTCAGGAAAGGCAATATTAGTATTAGTGACAATGTGTCCATTTCTGATTAAAGTTGATAGACAATTTGAGGACAGATTCTATGAAACAAATCTGGAATCACAGTAATGCAAGACTTGTTTTTGTCTCTGCTTAGTTGCTTTTAAGAGTGGAATGCTTCAGTGTCTGACAGGATCCTGCAATACTAATTGGAACTAAGTATATGCTCACTCCTCTTCGATAAAACCATCTTTTATGGAGGGGAAACTTTTAATGCAAAACAGTACAAACCTCTTTGCATCGTCCCAAGACTGCATCCTGTATGATGCTAGAGAAGACCAGGTGAATTGCGGGAAGAAAGTTAGATGTTCTGAAGGTGAATCTGTGCTCCACGTGGTAAACGAGGAGTTACACATTTCTGTGAATGAAAGGCAGTGACATTACTGAGGTCTGTCTTATACACCAGCACACCACAAAATACTTAGCATGAATACAGGAGAACTATCAATGGGCTTAAGTTACAAGATCACAGTTAAACATCAGCAAAATCTTTCTTAACGGGAGTAACAGCACAGATTGCCTGTGGAGGTTTTTTGGCAAAGGTAATTGAATGTCTACCGAGACTAGGAAACGTACAGTTGGGGAAAACAAGACTAAGCGAATGACTTCTTAAAGTCTCTTGCAGCTATATTGTTTTTAAGTCTTTGTTCTGCAAGGATTTCTAGAAGGTTCTGGAAAGATGCAAACTTTCCCTAGAAAAATGATTTGGGCAAGCAATACTCAAGATCTGGCAGAAGCTCCAACTCTTATCCTTTGCATCCTCTCTCCTCCATATTTATAATGACTGTAAAACAAGCTGTTAATAAACTTTTAAAGCTATTTTTAAGTTTTCAAAGGGAAAAAAAATCCTTTAACTTAAAATCTTAGACCCTCAGTGGCCTAAATGCTACTCTCTCCTGATCGGAGAACAAGAAAAGGTCCTGAAGATCTTTTCTTTTGCACAAGCGCTGGCACAAAGTCTATTATATAGCATTTATAAGGCTATTTTTTAGCATTTAGGTGGTGGTTCTCGCAGCCATCGAGCGGGAGTGGGGTCCCGCTTTCCCCGTTTCTTGCACCGATACACCGGGGACGCCCGATGCCCGAGCGAAGCCAGCAACGCCAACCTCACCCCCCTGTGACTACCGCCCCGAACAAGCGGTGTTACCCCTTCTCAAACGTGGGGGCTGCAAGACGGGCAATAGCACTTTGGAGAAACGACCAAATGTGAGCCGTCCGACGTCAAAGGGTACTGGCGTTTTGGGGACTGGTGCCCGGCAGAGGACTAAGGAGAGCTGTATTTCCAGGCGCGCCGCGGCTGTGGTCTGCAACTGGCTCAGCCGCGCCCGGGCTCGGGGCAACCTCTGGAAGCCAGCCCGTCCCGTTTTAAGCAGCTCCCGTTGCCGCTAGGAAGGAGAGCGGAAAAGCGCATGGGCTCACCGAGGTTTAAGGCAAGGGGGGCGAGCGGCTGAGGCGGAGGGGCTCACCGCGCGCCTCTGAACCGGATCTCTAAGTTTTGAGGAGAAGAAGCGGGGCTGGCGCGGCCGGGGATGGGCAGACGCCTCCCCGTTCCCAAAGCGTTCCCAAA